GTTTCTGTTGAGAAATCTGAGCTTAATCTGATTTGCTTACCTTTGTATGTTATATATCTCTTTTCCCTAGCTGCTTTCAAGATCCTGGAGGATCTTGAGCTCCTGGAGCATCTGAGTGTCCCAAACTAGAAAGCAATGGATTTCTTGCTTCTGCCACAAATTCTCCCAGCCTTCCAACCTTCTAAATATTCCTTTATATGTGGTTCAGAGTTCTGGGACCATCCTCTGAGCCTGCTTGGTTGGGTATTCTGTGTTGTTTCTGGCGGAGCTCTTTACTGCACTTCCACCAGTTCTGCCATCTTTTTGTTCATTCTCCCATCTCTTTTTACCAGACCCATCTAGACAAGATGAAAACTATTCAATGGGGACTCTATCTTCCCCCCCACACTCTGAAACTAAACTCATTCTTGAAAACTTGTAAGCCAGTCACTTTGTGCCTTTATTGTCCCCTCATTTTTGGTAGCCAAAGTCTCAGTTACCTGTCCCTATGTACCCTGCATGCAGAGGGGATAAGATTGATACTTGATGTGAAGACTCCTTCCCTCTCTGTTGGTATTTTGAGCTGCTACATCCATGAGTATAAGTCAAGTTCATCAAATTGTAGCAATTTACCCTCATTTCCATTATCAAAAAAAAAAAATTTTTTTTTAAATTTTATCGTCTTCTAGTTGAGTTCTGATCATCAAGCCTTCGAGGCTAGGTCAAATGGGTACTATCTGCAAGTTTGAGTGTTCTTGTGTGTCTCCTCTCACTTCATGTCAGCTGGATGCTTCACTCTCAGCTCTAGTCCTCTGTGGCTATGTCCTTGTTCATTGGCTCAGGTGTCCCCAGGTCTCACCACACTTTGGACCTACCAGCCCTTCTCTCTTTCATATCCAGGCCAACGGGAGTCTATGGAATGTGGATGAACTCAGCCAATTTCTTCATTGCTGCCTTTCCCCCTCTTCCACTCACCAGTAGACTAGTGTGGTTGCCAGCAAGCTTACATGCCTGCTCATATGTTCCCTTTGAGTATCAGTCTTAGAGGGGGGTTTGTCCTGAAGGGATTTGATTGCTTGCCTTGATGGCTTCCTGGTGAACAACTTGCTTATTCTTGTAGTAGCTAATCATACTACCTCCCATTTATGTTTTGCGTTTTTCATGCTGATCTTTCTTTGAAGTTGTATCTTCTGTTGCTCTAGCGGTTTCAGGCTGGTCTACTTGTCCTTTTTAGTGGGAATGTCCCACCTCAGAAGATTCTGGATGGGGCTAGGATTCCACCTAAGGTCCTATATACTGCAAAGGCTCCACAAGAAGCCTATTTCACGGGGCAAGATCTAGAACGCCTTTTAAGTATTCCAAGAGTTATAGAAGCCTCACTTTTTGGCATACAAGTTAAATTTAGGTTGGACACAACTGAACATTTTTATTGTAATTGTTAGTATTTTCTATAATGTGTATTAAAAATATGACTAGCATATTGAACTCATGAGTTTGTAGATATCGCTGGTTATTTTAAGACTACTGTAGATTACCTTTAAAAGCCTATTTAAAGAAAATATATTAGCTAAATAATTTAGTGGGTGGATACAGAAGGTAAAAGTTTTGAAAGTGGTATGCAAATTGCTGCAAAGGATCTAACTGGGAAAGGAGTCTTATTTTCAGAGACTTATAGAGGCAGAAACTCAGACTTGTTTACAAAATATATAGGGGTTCAAAGAAAGGAGGGAACACATTCAACCAAATCTTCAAGAAAGGGTCCTAGACCAGATCTCCTTGGAACTGGGCCTGAAAGACATGGAAGATTTGGATAAATAATACTCACTGGCCAAATTTCTCAGTCTCCTTTACTGACTCCTTTTCTACCTGACCTCTAATTCTTCAGAACACTTCAAGGCTCTATTCTAGATCTCCCGTTCTTTCCCTTCTCATCTACTCTCCTTCTCCTTTCTATATTCACTCTGTGTGATTCATCTAGTCCCATGGCTTTAAATATCATTTAAACACAAATGACTCCCAAATCCGTATCTCCAGCATGGACCTCTGACCTATGTATCCAATTGTTTACTTGATATGCCTTGAATTTACATTGAATGTTCAATTACATTGAACATCCATTTACACTGAATATCCAATACTAACCTCAAGCTTAATGTG